CGTTGAATAATCAAATACTATCAAACATAAGCAACAGCATAAGCAAAGGTATAGGATGACCAATAGAGAATCAAATCCGTGAAACGAGATTGACATCGTTGAGAGTCTAATATTTTAATTATATGACATTCCTACAATCAGTAGGAATTTAATCTCAACTCCTATGTTGTTCACAAAGATTATTTTTTATACTACCATCTTCAGTTTGCCACAGTATTTTAATATTACAAATTTTGATTAATCATCGTCTTCTTCTGCTCCCGTTGGGTGCCTTCGACTTGGATCTGCAGACAAACCCTTGTCTTTCGGCGCAGGCTTGGAGCGATACCTTATCTCATATAACTCTCAACAAAATTGAGTTCAAGCTTGCAAACGACTCAAGTTCGCAAGAAGCACAACAATAGTTACAAATCGTTATCATGATGCGATTAAGAAAGGAAGGAAACTAACTCGGAATATTGTCACATGATGATATTAACGTCTCATTTTCAACCCATCATGGTCTGGCAGATCCAATCAGAGTCACAGTTCAAAGGCGTTAGTCAGAGTACAGCATAAAAAAAAATAACAACCACATCCACGCTCATCTCATCATCAAGTTGAACGCATGTGCATTCCAAACGCACTTATCATATAAAATCAAACTCATACAGTGAGAAAGTTCAACAACAACCATGATGCATATGAAACCCTTATCTATAACGTATCAAGAAGTTTCTCCAAATAAATTTCAACAAGCCTCGAACTTATCTCTCATCTCACTATATCACAAATCAAACTCGGATAGCAAGCTATGACCCTATGCAGTGAACTCTCGAATTTTTCACATTTCCATACAACTGAAAATACGAACACCTCTATGAAACTAGCAAGGCCCCGAATATATATAAAGTTTGACTAGTACACAAGACATCAATTTACACTCTTAGCAAATCTGACCAAAATCTAAGAAAAATAACCAGGACCCAAATATTTATACAACCCGACTATAAAAGATATTATGTTCACTATAAAACAAGTTTTTGGCAGACTAAGTGAGAAATAACCATGTCCGCGACGCACATATAACCTTAATATAGAAAGGTTCCTACCTCGCTCAAAACAAAACTATGAACAAGTAAGCCCTACATACTTTAGAAAAATCATATGAGTGGTTGCGAAACTATGTCGAAAAAAAGTCATACTACATTTGCATTTTTTAACCATCGAATGGAACGATCATCTTTGTCGTATCTTCGAGCGTCATCCATTTGCACATCCTGAAATTGTAAGCTCGTCCATGCATGATGAACCCTACTTTAAAAGATATTATGTTCACTCCAAAACCAACTCTATAAGTCTATGTAGACTCAGGGAAAAATAACCATGTCTGCGACGCACGTACAACCTTACTATAAAAGGGTTCGTACCTCGCTCAAAACAAAACTATGTACATCCGAGCCCTACATGCTGTAGAAAGACCATATGAGTATTTGCCAAACTATGTTGAAAGAGGGTCATACTGCATCCGCCTTTTCTAACCATCAAATTAAGCGATCATCTCTGCCATCTCTTCGGGCATCCTCCATTTGCACATCCTGAAATTGTAAGTTAGTCCATGCATGATGGTCCCAATTAAAAAAATATATTATGTTCACTCCAAAACATGCTCTATGCAGACTCAGGAAAAAATAATCATGTCCGCAGCGCACATACACCTTACGATAGAAGGTTTCATACCTCGCTCAAAACAAAACTATGTATAACTGAACCCTGCACGTTGTAGAAAGACCATATGAGTGTTTGCCAAACTATGCCGAAAAAGGGTCATACTGCATCCGCCTTTTCTAACCATCGAAATGAGCGATCATCTCTGCCATCTCTTCGGGTGTCCTCCATTTGGACATCCTGAAATCGTAAGCTAGTCCATGCATGGTGGTTCTGACTATAAAATATATTATGTTCACTCCAAAACAGGCTCTATGCAGACTCAGGGAAAAATAACCATGTCCGCAACACATGTACAACCTTACTATAGAAGGGTTCATACCTCACTCAAAGCAAAACTATGTACAACTGAGCCCTACACGCTTTTGGAAGACCATATGAGTGCTTGCAAAACTATGTCGAAAAAGAGTCATACTGCATCTGCCTTTTCTAACCATCGAACTGAGCGATCATCTCTGCCACCTCTTTGCGCGTCCTCCACTTGCAATCCTGAAATTGTAAGGTACTTCAGGCATGATGAGAATATCATCCAAACACTATCATCCAAACACTTGCGAATGTACTCTTCGAGGAGTTCATTCCAATACTCGGACTCCCAACCGATAGTTGCTTATGTATGCATCGACTATGGACAGGATTCAAGGAAATTCCTAAGAGAGTGTTCTCTCTCTCTCTGTTTCTCCCAAGAGAAAACAAAACAAAACAAAATAAAAGAAGAAGAAGAAGAGGAAGAAGGAAAGATAGTCCCTTAGGGCCACGTTTGTCGCGCCCCAGTGGTAGACAATAGCGTACTGGAACTGAAGGGCTGGCAGTGCCGATCAAAAATAAAAACCATGCCCCTTTTTTTTTCTTCTGTCAGGCACATGGTCTGTAGGGGGGAATAGTTTCAGCAAAAGGAAGCCTCTAATTACTGGTGGTTTAAACCACCAGTACCTCGCTCAGCTATCAAGTCCGAGGCTCGGCCGACCGGTACGCCGATCCGTGCCGAGGCTCGGACTACCGGGCGCAGGCATCCCGAACGTCCATGTGAGACAGACGAAAAAAACGGGAAGAAAACAAATAAAAAAAATAAAGAAATAAGAAAAATAAATGGTTCATTCCCGCTGCCTGCTGTAGGAAGGCTTCCGAAAGGCAAAGCGGGAATGAATCTTCCCACTTTCGCGGGAAGATTCATTCCCGCTTTGCGATTTGAAAGTCG